AATTAAATTTCACCATAAGTTCTAAAAATTATGCCAATCACAATGGTGTAATCAATTTCGGGTTCTGTGGCCGATAGGGCCTCCAATTTAATTTCCAAAGCTGATAAATCAAACAGATATTCCTACGGTGAACAGATAGAAATTCAAAACCACATAATGGCACACAAAATCATATTAAACACATAATCATACTCATATTAAGGACCAATTAACATATTACGGAACAGGGGTATTACAGACTTTGCTCCTTTTGTATGTAAAAGTTATCTAAGGGCATTTCCCCTTTCGGATGCACAAGCGATCCCCATTTTGGATGCACAAGCTATCGTAGGGTGTTTCCTCTTTGGATCGGAAGCTATCCTAGGGCATTTGTCCCTTTCAGATATAAAAGCTATCCTAGAGCATTGCCCCTTTCAGATGCGGAGACTATCCTAGGACATTGCCTCTTTTGGATGCATAAGCTATCCTAGGGCATTGCCCCTTTTGGTTGCAAAATTTGTAAAGTGCACAATGAGTTATTGTACACTTTATATTATAATAATATGTAAAATGTCTAAAATGTATTATTTATACTAATTTATATATAAACACCTAAAATATATGCAAACACATAAAATTACACAAAATTATAAAATAATATAAATAAATAAACTAATAAAGTGTATGTTAATAGGTTAACTGTGTAATATTTAGGTACCGATAACATTGTATTTACCACAATGCATCAATGGTTATATGTACATAATAACAAACCACTACCAACCTTGTGAATGTTCACAGTGTTTTTATAATACCAAAATAACAGGATAACATCAACAATGCATTACTCATTGTTAGCACCATAAATCTACAATTTTTATTATTATTTATTATTTATATAATTGCAGGACACATGACATCCTCTTATTCATTTGGAAGTTAAAAGAAGTTAAAGAGATAATGGAGAATATGAACGACAAAGTGGATAAGTGGGAGGACAAAGTAGATGAGTGGAATGACACATGGCAAGACAATAATGAAGATGGAAGAAATGGGTAGTTACTAAGTAGTTATTGCTGTATTTTTTCTTCTATAAATAGCCATTAATGGTTACATTGTAAAAGATTCAGAATTCAAATAAAAAACAATTGATTTCAATATTTCTTGTCATTTTCCTTATCTTAGGAGTAGTTTAACATATATTTATATTTCGAAGCATTTATTTTCAACATTTCCATTTCGAAGCATTTTATGCGCTTTCTTTTCGAAGCATAAGAGTAGAGGTAAGTATTTATTACTTTGATTGTTCACTCAATCATCTTTCTCCGTCCCTTTTTCTTCTTTTACTTTTTCTTTTCGCTACACTTGGCAAATTTGAAGTCCTCTTCATTGAGGCAAAAGAACCGTCAACACAATCGCTTGATAATTGGCTTGAATTTAATCTGTAAGGATTTTTCAATCCTTACTGACACGCTCGCATTTATGATATTTTCCTTCGTAGGAAAAATAAGCCAACATTTTTTGGCACGCCCAGTGGGACAGCCAAGTGTAAGAAATGACAAATTATTTGAATTTCGCCATTCGAACTTGTCAATATGAAATATATTGGCGTGAAAGAGAAATTTTGGATCTTCAAGAAGAGATCCATTTTCTTGATGAAATAAACTTTCATCCCTTACAATATTATTTGGTGGAAGAAAAAAGACACCATTTAATTTGAGAAATTCATCAACTTGATATGGAAATTCGCCAATAGAATGATGAGTTATCAACTTTCACTACCAAGTCTTTAACTGAGGCTTTAATAGCTGGAATTAGTGAATTTTTTTAGAATTTTTCTATGGTTAAAAATAGCAAAAGCAAAGAGTTGATTTCATCAATGGCTCGGGGGTTCAAGAATCCGTTTTAAAAGAGCCAAATTATGAAATTAACACAACGAAAGAGCATGTTCTTGAGCCAAATTTGGCTAAGAATGATGTTCCATGTATGACTCGGATGGTCCAAAAATCAAATTTTAGAGAGTCAAGTCATGAAAATAACATATCTATGGGTGATTTTCATAAGCCATTAATGGCTAACATGGAAAAACAACCCACTTTGCCAAATAATTATGAAAACCTATTCGGCAAAAGTCATGTTTTTAAAACAAACATGGTCAAGAATAATAAACAAGCCGCTGTTCATGAATTCAAATTTTTTGACATTTTTCAAAATGTCAAAAAGTATGAATTTTCATGGTCACACTATACCATGACTTTTGGTGTTCAAAATCCTTTTTGGATTTGTGGTTCACATCAAAATATAATTTTGATGATGTGGCTAATAAAATTAACAAATTGTTCTTATGAGTTCGAAGCACTAAAAACAAGGGATGACAATTTAAAATGCATGAATTTGGCTAAAAAAAGCCTGTGCATTTAAATAAATGGTTGAGAATGGCTTATCTTTTCAAATTGATGGCCAGTTGTTTGTATGTACACAATCAAAGTATCAAAGATATATTCGAAGCATCAAGAGTTGTTTCGAAGGTTGATTACTTCACCTTCGAAGCTGTATAAAGCTTTGAAGATACATTCGAAATATCAAGAGTTGTTTCGAAGGTTGATTACTTCACCTTCGAAACTGTATAAAGGTTTGAAAACTTTCGAAATGTGTACATCTCTTCAAATATATGTAAAATGACAATTAATTAGTTGTCGAATAATGCCTGTTTTTGGCATGATAAGTTGGTTCGAAGAACAACAGTTTCGGTGTCTTCGAAGAATTAATAACTGGTTCGAAGCACAAAATTAATATTTTCATTAATTATGTATGAACCAGAACATACAAAATGTGAATAACTACAATGTTGGCCAAAAGCTGCTTCGAAGGCTCTTTTGCCATAATTTTGTAAGCTCCGAAGCACTCCATCTTGCATTAACAGCTTCGAAGAAACAATAATAGTGGTTGTGAACCTTCGAAACTTTGCCGAGTATTTCTAAGGATGTAATTTGTCCTTGGTCGGCACTTTCAACCTTCGAAAGATGATTTTGGTCCTTTGTATCACCTTCAAAGCTTGTTACTAGTTCGTAATAGCTAGCATTCGAGACATCTAGTCATAATTTCATACTCATTCGAAACACTTTATTGGTACTATTATATCATTCGAAGCACTTTGTTGATATTATTCGAAACATTTTATTGCTTAGATTAGTCATGTGCTTGGTTCGGCCCTTCAAAAATTCAAGTAAATATCATTTTTAAAGGCCGCGGGGGTAATGTTAGCACCATGAATCTGCAATTTTTATTATTATTTATTATTTATATAATTGCAGGACACGTGGCATCATCTTATTCATTTGGAAGTTAAAAGAAGTTATAGAAATAATGGAGAATATGAAGGACAAAGTGGATGAGTGGGAGGACAAAGTAGATGAGTGGAATGACACATGGCAAGACAATAATGAAGATGGAAAAAATGGGTAGTTACGAAGTAGTTATTGCTGTATTTTTTCTTCTATAAATAGCTATTAATGGCTATATTTTAAAAGATCCAGAATTCAAATCAAAGACAATTGATTTCAATATTTATTGTCATTTTCCTTATCTTAGGAGTAGTTTAACATAGATTTATATTTCGAAGCATTTATTTTCAGCATTTCCATTTCGAAGCATTTTATGCACTTTCTTTTCGAAGCATAAGAGTAGAGGTAAGTATTTATTACTTTGATTGTTCACTCAATCATCTTTCTCCGTCCCTTTTTCTTCTTTTACTTTTTCTTTTCGCTACACTTGGCAGATTTGAAGTCCTCTTCGTTGAGGCAAAAGAACCGTCAACACAATCGCTTGATAATTGGCTTGAATTTAATCTGTAAGGATTTTTCAATCTTTGCTGGCACGCTCGCATTTATGATATTTTCCTTCGTAGGAAAAATAAGCCAACACTCACAAATCACAACTAATGTTAATATTCACATTAAAAAATAATCATACTAGCATAAACAATGTGAATGTTTGCCATGTATGGTTGGATATTATTTACCAGCATACATTTGTAATATGAAAATTTATATCAATATTTAGGCCTTGTTTGGTAAATGGTGATTTTAGTTAAAAAGTCAAAAAGTTATTAAAAAAATTAAAAAGTTAACAACTTATATAAAAACAGTCAAAGATTCTCTTTTCTCTCTATTTTTTGCACATCTTTTCGTGAAAAATTAAAAAATCATTCTAAACATACTAATTTTTTTACCTCATATTTTAGCTAAAAAAGTTACTAAAATAGTCTATTTCCAAATGAGGTCTTAGTAAAGGAAACAATTTAGGGTTTAAAAATATGAGAGATTTTTGTTGGGGAATAAGGGAGAGATTTTCTCCCTAGAATAAAGGAAAGATTTTTTTATGAAATAAAGTAAAGATTTTCTCTCTAAAATGAGGTGAGATTTTCTTTCTAAAATGAGGTGAGATTTTCTCTATAAAATAAGAGAGATATTTTTTTCATGTAATGAGAGATTGTTGTTATTTTTTATTGTGGATTGTTTTTAGAGTAAATTACAAATACACTCCTGAGGTTTAATTAAAATACAAATCATTCCTGTGATTTTAGAAATTACATTTTACCTCCTGAGATTTTTAATTTCATATCAAATCGCCCATTTTATTAATAAATTATCAAGTCAATTAATAATTTTAATGATATTAAAAATATGTTTCAATTAATAATTTACGTAATTTTATTATTGTATAGGAGAATAATTATAAATTATATTTTTTTAGTTAATTCTGTTAAATAAAATTACTAATGAGAAGGTATTTATAATTTTTCAAACTATAAAAAATAATTTATACTTTTAAAAAAATTTTAAAAATATATTTATAATTTATACTATTTTTAAAATGAAAACATAAACAAAAAGTTAAAAGACTAAATTTCTAAAACAAGACCCAAAACATAACAATTAAGAACACGAGTTTCTGAAAAACGGCTCCTCTCTTTATTTTGATTCGAGAATTGATTATTTTAATAAAAAATAAAATAAAATTGAAGACGTAGAAAAGGAGCCGTTAACCGTCCCTCAACTACATCAATAATAATTTTCGGAGATCCTTTTTGTGGAATGGATTTCTCTCAGCTTCTGGTTCGTTTCCAATCTTGAAGGTAGTTTTTCAACCATCTCAATCCCAATCCAATCCAATCAAATCCATCTAATCTGCTAATTCTCGCGCCTCCTCGTCACAAAAACCCCTAATTTGGGATTTTTTTCATCCCAAATTAGGGTTTCAACGATCACAAACCAACCACGAAATCTCTGTTCCGATCACTCGTTTGCTTCGATCTTCGCGTTTTCCTTGGTTTGATCTACCAATTTCCCGCCCGATCGGTTCGCTTTGTAGTTCTTTTAGATGTTTATAGCTGCTACACACAAATATTTATCTATACGATCGTATATTTATTTGTATTTTTATACATAGAAGAGATAGTTTAGTTTGTGAGATGAAGCATTCGAAGAAGAAGAAGAGGTCTCGACCTACGAACCAAGTCGGCGTCAAAGGCGCTGCACGCGAGGGAGAGAGTGAAGAACGCAGAGTTGTTAAGAGTTTGATGGAATCTTTTACGTCAGTTTCTATTGAAGAAGCTTCTTCGGCTTATCGAGAGGCGAATGGGGACCCGAGCAAGGCGGCGGAGATTTTGGGAGAATTGTTGGAAATTGCCGATGATCAGGCCACGAGTTGTTCAGGTTCGAGCTCAAGTTTGGGTCCAAGCTCGGCGGAGGTGTTTATGGACGCCAATTGTGGTGGCAGTGGAGTTCGTGGAAGGGGTTTTAGAGGGACTAATAAGCAAAAGAAGGTTATTGCATCTACAGGGACGGTTTCGACAATTTTAGGAAAGGAATACGTAAGGTCAAGCCCAAGGAAGGATGTATATAAACCATTAAAGGGGTATGCTTATGGACCTGCAAACAAAGGAGACGCCGAGCAGTTTTTGTGCTCGATGCTTGGAGACGACTGTGAACTGAGCATGGCTGTTGTTAGAGACGTTCTATGTGAGTTACCTCCTTGTCGTGTCAAATTTTGGTACTAAGTAATTAAATATTATTTGTGAATGGATGAGACTTTCATGTATATGGTCGCTGGAGCTAAGGTTATTCAGCAGATGTTTGGCATGCACTAAAAAAGTGCATTTTTTTTTCCCATACATACACTTATTTGAGTTACGGCAATCAATATTTATCAACATCTTATCTCCACTTTTCTACCCACCTTCTCTACACAATATTTTTTATAAAAAGTAAAAAAAGTGTACTTATTAAGACATCCAAACCACCCCTCAGTTAGAGCAAGATCCTCTTTATGATGATGAACTATGACGAATTTGTCAGCTTAATGAATAACCTTGTTACTGACTGAAATTGTTTTTTTCATTTCATGTACCATAATGGCATCACTATGGAGTTTAATTCTGAAATCTATCTCTATAACTCTATATTCAAAGCTTTGGGTCATAAAAAAACATTACTGTGAAATTTTTATGCTATGTGGATCAGTTAAAATAAGTAACAATTGTTTGGAGAATGGGGGTTAAAAAGGATGAGATCTTAAAATGAGAATTTGAAAATGCTTTGGACACTTTAATTAAAGAGAATAACTAACAATTGTGTGGGGAATGGCGGTTAAGAATGAGAGGTTACATGCCTCGTCAAGCTATGCCATGAGCAGGGTTTCATCTACCTAAATTAATGTTGCATCAGGTTAGCGACCATAGTATAGTTAAAACAAGATGTGATTGAGTGGCTTAAACCTTGGTGAGGGTAAATAAGATTTTTTCTTGATATTTATTTAAACATAACTAAAACAACTAAATGATGAAAAGCATCTTCTATAGAAGAGTATATATCTCCTTATATGAATTAGGGTGGTAAAGGTAAGACAAAGATGGGTGAAAGACAAGAGTGAATGGATGGAAGAGGGACATAGTGAAGCATTACAATTTCACACTAAGCATGATCAAGAAAAGTTACACTCCTAGATCTTAATCAGGGGAAGCTTCAACAATCACACTTGGGCTTTTAGAGAATCAAATCAAAGAAAAGATGCATTATGCATTACAAGTAACTTGGCTCAGGTGATTTCTTTGTTGCCTCATTTCTATTCTAGGGAAACTACAAGCCTTTAAACATTGGATATGTAAAAAGGTTACTTTCAATTGCTAAGTACTTAAGCCCAAAGTATCTTACTGCCACTGGGTGAGAACCCAAAGTAGCTTACTGCTACTGGGTGAGAAGTAGGTGCGAACTAGTAACCTATAAAGTATAAAAGAAGTTAGTTGGGACTTTAGTAACAAAAAAGATCAAACTATATTCTAGCCTAGATCTAGTAACAATAATTTGTCTTTTTCTTCAATTAGACCTTTAATAAATTAACCAATTTTTAAGTTGACCCATATTTGTGTGATGCTATCTATGATCTAAATCTTCATGGGGGTAGTGGCAGGGGATTGACTAATTCAACTTCCCATGTTACTATTGATAAAATGGAACATCATTCTCTTTAGATGAGATGTGGAGTGTTCCTATGGAGCTCTTCATTTGTTCTTCATTCTACAGTCAAAGAATTATTATTATTATTATTATTATTATTATTATTATTATTATTATTATTATGTTTACTTTTTTCTACTATGGAAAAGATTTGTTATGGGATATCCTAGGTTGTTATTGTGTGTTTGTATGAGTGCACTGATGTGGCAAGGAATATGAAACTTTCATTTTTATATATTTAACATCAAAATATGTACTTTTAATTCAGTCATTGGTAATTTACTAGGTATATTTTGAAGGGGATTTTCATTAATTTGGATATTAAATTGTGGGTAGATTCTAAGTAGATGCCATGAAATGATTCTTTAAATGGTATTTCCAAACTATGAAGCACGGGTGTTTCGAAAATGTTGCTGTACTCATACTAGGTACTTACTCGGTATTAGTATTCGTACCGCTAGGGCTCCATGCGTACCGGGTACTCGAAATACATACTGGGTACTTTTTATATATTCTTTGGCAGTTGGGTACTCCATAGGTACTTCATGGGTATGGGATTGGTACATCGAGAGTACACCAAGTTATAAGACCTTAGTAGAGATACGTTTAATTTTTTAGAGAGTTCTGATTTACTTGAAATTGCAAATCCTTTATTTGATGTGCCAGAGTTGAAAGATGTATTATTCAATGATGAAGTTGATGGAAATGAAAACTGAAGTTTCAAGTTTTCAGTTTTCAGTTTTCAATGAAGTTGATGGATGAGTGGCATTCAAGGGATGACGTAACAATAATTGAACGCATGGATGAGAAGGTGGGATTTGCCAGTTGAGGACAACATGATGGAAAGTCATTTACACGGCTCTTATGTACATGATGGTTGCATCTGTCAAGAATATAGTAATAGTTCAGGTTAGAATATGGAAGAAGCTTTAATCATAATTTAACATGAATTGGAAGCAAAGAGATCTGTCCTCACAACATCATGCATCTCTTTCATCAGTTATAATTTTTACATTTATCCCTTTGGTTGTCCATCCAGTTTGTCTTCTTATTGTTCTCATGGCTCTTTTTACTGAATTTGCGTTTATCTTTACCAAACATATGCGTAAGCGGACACTCTGTTGTTTAGAAATGGCATGAGGTATGGCATTTTGGAGATGGGGGAGAAAGATGAGTTCTATATCTATATTGGACTCTTGATTTTTCGTTGTTTTTTCACGAGCTTCAGTTATATATTGCCTGACCTGAAAATTTTGTATAATGTGTTTGAGATGAAGTTCATGTGTGACTGAAATGTTTGTCTCTGCAGGTCAATGCGGATATGATGTTGAAAAGGTGAGCACCGTGACCAGGACTTCATTTCAATTCCTTCCAAATTGACCTTGAAAGTGTGTGGGTTTGTGTTTTGTTTTTTCTTATCCAATTTTTTACATTTGATCTAAAAGACGTGCTTTGGTAATATTTACAAATTTGCTAGGTCTAGAAGCTTATTGGTCTGTTCATTGACCAAATTAAGTCTGCTCCACTTTTTGGTAATATTTCTGATTAATTGTTTACTCTACTTAACAGAGCCTTATCCCATCGTATACACTCTACTTATCAAAGCCTTATCCCAGCCATTGGCCTCCTTACACTAGCAACTTTGTATTATCTTGGTTTGTCTTTGTCGAATGATATGCTAACATGTCAGTTAATTTGGTCTCTCATTTTTGCACTCTCTTGTGCAACCGCTTCACCCTTTACTTGTGCTCTCTGTCTGGTTCATGGTTATCTTATCTCCAATAAAATTACAATTATTAGATACCTAACATAAATTAAAACATTTATCAATTGTTTTGCCTATAATCCTTTTCATTGTTGCATGTAAAATCAAGGACAATATGTTCCCTTGACAGTTTATTAATATAATGCGCTGCCGTACAATTTAATAATATGATAAGTTGCCTGTACAAAAATGAAATAGGATCTGTTCACTCAACGAGTGTTTTGCTTTAGGTATGGGTGTTGGATACAGACAGGTACATGCCGAAGATGTCGGATTCATAAGTTCTCCAAATTATAGGATACGGGGACTTTGCTATGAAGTGTGCAAAATTATGGTATGGACACAAGGACATAGCACATGGAACACTAAAGATTGTTGTCTAACACACAAACAACTAATTGTTGGATCACGATGAATCATATTGTTTCTATTTGCTTTGTGAATTATTTTATTGGTTGAAGTGAGATTACCTGTTTCTATATTAAATTAAATCTAGTTGCCTTTGAAGTAAAAAAACTATGTTTTCACTATTTTCTTTTCTTTTCTTTTCTAAGAAATTGTTATTTACTATTTTATATCAATACCTTACCATGTCTCAGGTTACTCAAATTCCATATTTTTGTTTCATTAGTTATATTATATATACACATGGTTTTGTATGTGTATTTCCCTAAAGATATGCCTAATGTAATAAACAATGCGATTTATTCGGCAGCAAGTGGCAATACAGAACAATTCCAGTGTACCTGCTACTGCAGCCTACCATTCAATATCATGATAACATCCATTTATTCGAGTGTTACGTTTTGCTCTATAGTGAGCTCTATCCTTTTAACTGTTACCTTCACCTAGAGTAAGGCTGCAAATGAGCTGAGTCAAGCCTTTGTGTGCTTAGGCTTGGCTTTGTTCTATGGGGAGGAGCCTACCAAAGTTTGTTCTGTCTCAGCTTGATTTGGTTTCACAATCTCGTGAGCCAATCTCCTCTCGGCTCAACTAAAACATGTTACAACACTTTTTTAGGACACATGTTATATTGTAATGCATTTAAGAATAAAGGATGGAAGTCACTCTGTGTGTTAGATGGATTAGAAAAAATGTTGAGAAAGTGTACAAACCTGTGGGCAACTTTTATTTTGCAATTGTATTATATATATTTGTAATGGAATTGGTATTTATTTGTTTCAATGGTTAAATATTAGATATATTGTTAGTAAATGGCCCTAAAACTTCTTTAAGAATTTACAATATATCTGTTTAATTGTGGATATGATGTAGGAAGTAGCCATGACAGTTTTGAAGAATTCCAAGAAAACCAATAAAAAGCCATGTTCACGAACACAGATGAGTCGAGCATGGCTCAACTTTTTTTGTTAAATGATGGTGTAATCAAGATAATAAGGCCAAATTTGGCATCTTAAAAAAAAGCTAAAAAGTCAAAAAGTCACTATCTTATTTAAGTCACATCACCTCTCTATCACATCACTTTAAAACCCAACCCATATTTTATAAAAAGTCAAAAAGTACACTTATTTAGAACATCCCAAACAACCCCTAAGAGGCACACAATCAAGCTTTAAGAAACGAGTCTACAGAGCTGATTTTCTTTTGAGGTGTATGATTAAGTAGTATTTGGGTTGATGTAATTTAGAATATCTAAATGTAGTGGTTGCATGATGGACATGTGTCAATAGGTGGCCACATGTAAAATCATGTGTTGCTCTTTTGTCTCTAATGGCTGCATGTTGGTCATGTGTCACAACTTATTATTGAGTGGCTGCATATTTGCTACTTGTCACCTTATTATTTTGTATTTTTTTAATCCTAGGTATTTCATCATGAAGTAACCTCTTTACCTATTATATATAGGGCCACAATTGTTTTGAGGTTTTTTGAGGAATTAAAATTTCAGATTTTGTTATTTTTATTGTAGCCATATTTTGCTATTTCTTAGGGCGATCGTAAATCAAATTCCTAATTCTTCGAATCGTGAATCAAATTGAATTGAGAATCATAAAATTCAACTTACACTATAAAAAATAATGTTAAACAATTATATATTCACTAGTTCTTTTATAAGAACCTGATTACACTATTTAATTGGGAACACATTTCCTTCATAACAAGAGATGTGGGTCCAAATCCCGCCAACTATATAATTTTGTAGAAACCATAATATATTCTCTCTTGACATTCAAAAAAATGGACTTGGAAATCCCAAATAGAATAGAAAGAAACAAGAATATTTATCAAAAAAAAGAATAAGAAACAAGAATAAGAGGGAGTTCTTTATTTTAAAGCATTGGGATACTTTCATCAACCAATTATATGGTTCTAAGCACATTTTTGTATTTTAACAATTTTATCCTCTAACCTTGTCTCCCTCTAGTTCAGTTTCCCATTTCTCTTCAATCTCCTTCCATCTTTAGAAACCCAGGTCCTTTCTCTCTCTCTTTTTGTTCTGACTCTCACCACACTCTCTGCAATTTCCTTCACCCTATGAACACAGATCAACAACCCCCCTCTCTTTATTTTTCTTCTATTTCTCCTTCTATTCTGCCGTATCTTTTTTTTCTCTCTCCAATTGTCCTTTCTCTCTAATACAAATGCTGATCACCCATGCATGCACCATTAACATGTAAATACAATTATATAGACACATATTAAAAGTATATATGTATGTACATGCTCTAAGGGCACTTCTACTCTTGAAGCATTTTCGTAAATGATGCTCTAATGCTCCCACTCCCGCTCCCGCTCCACATTTTGGTTACTTAGATCACCTCCATTGTTATTATCCCCGCAGCCATAGCTGTTTTTTTGCCTAAAACTTGGTTTCATTTTTTACTTTTTAAGTAAAAAACTCAGACAAGGAAAGGAGAGAGCGTAAATGCATTGCTTTCACCCCCTTTCAGTTCTATTATTTAGAAAGTTGAACTGAGAGATGGCTTTGCATATTTTATTTATGAGAGCAAAGAGTTAAATGAACAAATGCAGATTCTCACCTTTTTGAGTGTGTTACTGTTGTTGAGTTTATTGTTCTATGCTGGGGTACTGTTGTTATCCAACAAAGTAACCATATTGGTCTACTGGATTTTGATTAGTAATTTCCAATATACTTATTATTGATCAAGAATTTCAACATGAGTTCAAGTTGGAAAAATTTTGGGATGAATGTATATTCAATGCTAGGCTTTACGAGTACATTTTCTAAATTCTGGTTCCTCTGATTTCTCTTGGCCTTGTTTTTTGTTTTTTAGCTGCGTGATAGTGCATGAATTGAAACATGAACTTTTTCAATGCTGGCTCAGTAATATTATATGGATCACCCACTGAATATATTAGGATCCTTGATTATTTATCACAAATTGGCAGACATCTCTAAGGTTTATACTTCTCTGTATTTTTGGATGGGCCCATGTCTACAACCAGAGTATGGGAGGCTTTTGCCAAAGCAAGAATTTGTTTTGACTAGTTGCATGGTATAACCGATCAATGCTTTGCTTGCTTTGCTAAATGCCTCTTCTTCTTTGGCAATAGCTGCTTGCTTTTGGATGTTCTAATAGTTTGTAGAGCTGTGTTAATTTATATCTTGATGTGCAATTATATGTTTTCCATGTAAGTATTATATTGTCTCTTAAAAGAACTTAAATTTGTTTAAATATTTATGTTTTTCCAGGCTTTGAATGCATTGCTTGAATTATCTGCTTCCTCCCTTGAGCAGTCCAAGAATGGTCAATCTTGTGAGCGTACAGCAAACAACAAAGAAGATACACAATACTTTCTTGAATGCAGTGACAATGTAAGTTACCTGACTTTTAATTATTAATTTTGAAAAACCTAAGTGATTCGTGATTAGATCAAGATTAATTACAACAATTCCCAAATAATTAAAACTAACAATCTAAATCATCTAGCACATACGAAAGTGATTTAGTTTGTTGCTACAACATCAATAAATCGACGCTAACGATTTTTACGTAGAAAAACCACAATTGGAGCGCCTCCAATTGTGAAATGCCACAAATCAATCACTATGAAAAAGAGAAAGAATACAAATATACCAAATAAATTACCCAAACTCTGCCAATTTGTATTCAACAATCTGTATCTCTTTCACCACAACCTTCGTCTCGGAATTGATCAGATTGACGTTGAATCCACAACATCCATGTCGAATCAACGACTGCGTACAGTTTTGAACTCCTTCGAATACTCCACGCTTGAATCTTCGGATTCCATCGAAGAAGAATACTCTTGAAGAAGAACACTCAAACAACTCTTGGATATATGCTTGTCAAACCATGTGAGTTTAATACTCAATCAAATATCAAAGAAACCTCACAAAATTGCTCCAGATTAAAACCTTAGAACCCTCAAAGAAGATGTGGAAGTCTTAATCCTAAACAGACTGAAACACATATTTATAGAAAATAGGGCCGCGAAGGTCACTCGAGCGAAGGATCTCTCGCTCGAGCGACAAGACAGATACGCGTGAAACCCATAAGTGCCTTCGCTCGAGCCATCAATAGGTTCGCTCGAGCGCACAAAAACCATTCCTAGTATTTTTGCAGACAGAGCAAAGTATTGGGACCAAGGCTTCTTCGCTCAAGCCAAGAGTCCTTTGCTTGAGCGAGCAAGACACAAAACCAGGAATACTTACAACTTGATAAATAATGTTTGTTCGCGGAATTGACAAGACTAAGGGACCTAACAAATTTTGTGGGAACTTCTTGGTATTTACTTTTGGTAGCTTATAATTGTGTTGGTTTCTGTTGGCCTTTAGTTATTATTTTGCTATTTTTCATTGGTGCTCTATGCTTTCTGAGGAATTGAAGTCCTTGCACAGAAAAAGTTAGTCAAAGGGTACATTACACGGACTCTCTGTTTTTTGAGAGGTACCCCGTGTTGACACGACACAGGTACGGGTGTGGAATATGGCCGGGATACGGCTAGATACAAATGGATACGGCTAAAACTCAGAGAGAGAGAGAGAGAGAGGGGTTGAAACTCACCTTTGCAAAGCAAGTTGAGTCGCAAACTCGACCGAATCGAAGGAGATCTGAAAACTAACATCGCGAAGTCAATTCCACCCAGAAAATGACCTTAGGGTTTCGATTCCCCTTTGGTCTCTCTCTCTCTCTCTCTCCTATCTTCTTTTTTGATTCCGTCTCTGTTCTCTTTCTCTGCTTTCTAATTAGATTTATATTATATAATATATCACAAATAATATAATTTTTATGTTTGAAATAAAAATAATTTATTTTATCATATAATATAATTTATTTTATGCTTAAAATAATTTTATAATTTTTATTTGTTATTTATATTTTATTTGTTATTTTTTTTAACAAAATCTATTATTCGTTAACTTTTTAAAACTCATCTTCATATAATAAATATATTTAAAAAATAACTATCTAATGTATCCACGTACCCGTGTCCAAATTTAGATTCATATCTACGTATCCTCAATTTTTAATTTTGAAACCCTTAGATACGCACCCGCACCCGAGTCCGTGTAATGTGGGAGGCTACATGCATAAAAAATAGATAGGTCAGTTCCTTCTCGAATTAGCATTGATAATGACAAGTATCAATTGATGCATTGTAACACAAATTATCAATGATAATGATGATGTATCAGTTGATGCAATGTAATTTTAGATTCTCAATCGATAATTTTGGCGAGGATCTCATGTTTAATTTTTGAACAAAAAAAATATTGGCTTGTTGATAATCACAATCTTTCTCTCTCTTTTTATTTATTTATTTTATAGTATTAACATGAGAAAAAAAGAATATTGGTTATAAAATTTATTATATTTTATTTTGGTTTATTGGAAGCCATAGCCTTGGCATCCTAATGAGTGCAAAAATTATTATCTAATACTACAAGAAAGGCAAAAAAGGAAAATTCTAGTTTTTTTTTTAAAATTATTTTTTATCAGCAACAAACAAATCTATCATTAAGGCACAAAGCCAAAAGAAGGGAGGATAAGGCATCCTCTAAAAAAGAGTACAAGTGAAAAATGACAAAAACAACAAAAGGAGGGAAAACCTAAAACAAAGAAAAACGCTACATATTACAAACTGACACCCAATCTACTGCAATAAAAAAGAGAGGAATTCTTTTGACCAAAAGATACCCCGACACCCAAAACAGTTCTAAATGTCGAACTTCATCTCATAAAAAATCAACATCCCAAGATTCTTCTTCAAAGACGTGCCCATTTCTCTTTAACCAAATGACCCATAAAATCGCAAAGAGAGCCCAAAGCCAAAGCACCTTGGCCCTCTTCGACCCAATGCTTGAAAATCAATGAACGTCATTTGTGCACTCTCTTTTGGAGCCATCTGCATAACATTCCCTAAACAAAACAACATTTGCCACAAGCTCGCTGCCACTAGACAATGCAGAAATACATGATCCAAAGATTCACCATTCCTGACTACACATTATGCACCATCAAGGACTTAGAGAATGGGAAACCCTCCTCCTTTCCAATGTATCATTTGTTAAAGTGCCTTTATGAACCAAAATCTACATGAACATCTTTACCTTAAGAGGAACACAAAGCCTTCCATATCTTCTTGTGAAAAGGGAACAAAGGTATGTGAGACTTATCAATGAGTTTGTCGAAAAAAGATTTACAAGAAAAGGAGCTCGTAGAACGAACAGTTGTCCTCCAAATTTGGAACCAAAGTGACATGTTCAAGCCTCCACAAAAGATCCACCAATTTCCCAACTTCCCTATAATTAAGATTTCTAGGAAAATTAAAATTTCAAGAAATTGGAGCCAAAGACGAGCATGCAATGGAAGTAACAGAATAATTATGAGACTGAGACACTTTGTACAAATGTGGGAAATACATAGCAAAGGAAGAAGAACCCACCCAAACATCCTCCCAGAATTTGGCAATTTCCCCATTACCTACTCTTACAGAAATGAAACGGAACCAGATTGGATAAATACGAGAGATTGATTTCCAAGGAGCTCGACCATTACCCCCTAGTGACCACCCTTGAATCTCTACTGTTAACATGAATCCCATACTTGCTTCTAATAACCTTATGCCATAATGAATCACACTCATTTGGGAATCTCCATAACCACTTGCCAAGTAGAGCTGTGTTCCTAGCCATTATATTACCCTAAGTTTGTAAAGGCGAATGTCTACCTCAAGGCGTTTTATCCTTCATGAGGCAAGGCGTAAGCCTCAGGGCATTAAGACATAAGCATTTCAAATTTTAATATTTAGTGAATAAATTAAATATTTTAAAATAGTAAAATAATAAAAACAAAATTAAATATAAAGGTGTAAATACTTTTCGCCTTAAGGCGTTGAACATTTAATGGATAGAAGGAAGTTTTCCTTCACTGAAAGTGAAATTGAACATCTTAACTTTAGTGATTGAGATTCTCACTTGACCATTAACTATGATTTTTTCTTAATTATTCACTTACTTTATTTTTCCTGTACAATATAGCTGTAAAAATGGATTCTTTTTATTTTCTTTTTATGTTTAAACAATCTAATAGACTAAAAGTTTAACAAAAACCTAAGGCAATCTCTGCATGTGTGTACTCCTCATATGCTTATGGGTAAAAAGCGTACAAAGCGCACCTAAGGCGCATGTCTCAAACTATGATGTGCAACCCTTTGGGGAGTAGTGCCCAAAAATCAAAGCCTTGATGTGTTTTACCTTAGCCTCGAGGCGAGGCAAGCCTCAGAAAAGCCTTTTCAAACTCTAATATTACCTATGGTCAAACCCCCCTTTTCCGTTAGGAAATGAAACTGTCTCCCAATTCACCAAATGATCTTTTTTGCCCTCATCCTTCTCCTCCCAAAGAAAGTCCCGCATCAATTTTTCTAAAGATCTTGCCACCATAATTGGATTCTTAAACAGAGACAAAAATTAAATTGGAATACCACCTAGAACTATCTTAACTACAGTGAACCAACCCCCTCGAGAAAGTAAAGTCCTACTCCACACTTCCAGCCGCTTCAACTACCACAAACTTTGGGATATTGGCAAGGAGCTTCTTGCTATTAGCAGCCGTAGTTGGTATTAATGCCCTAGGTACATAATGGTAAAAGGCGAGAGAAATTAGTAGCTTTTCACCAACTCTCTCTCTCTCTCTCTCTGATGCACATATGCATGTGTATAGCATCATCATTGTCATCAATTGTTATTGACATCAATACACTCTTCCAAGTCCATGTTGATTGCTTCATGAGTCTGACAACGATTTCTTTATGAGTATCTTTATGAGTATGTATATCTATCATGAATTTAGATAGTGATATTTTTTGAAAGTATATTTTGGGGTAAAAATCATGGACACCCCCCCAACATTTGATAAAAATAAATACACAATCACTCCCTGATATTTCAAATATATCACGGACATCCCTTGACATTTAGAAGTTGTATCAGCAAGACCTCAAAGTCTCACGGTCGTTACTAATGGTAATATATATATATATATTTTTTCCAGATGTCAACCAACATAATCTATGATATCTTCATATAGCTGCTCTTAAGTTTATAAATCACGGCCATTCACATTTGACAAAAAAAAAGCACTGAGACGCCCTGAGTTTATTTTTTTAAGACAAATTATTAATTAACTTTGTTAATTATTATCAACAACAACAAGAAATCAACAATACTATGGAGAATCCATTCTCACATTTTCCATATTAAAGTTTAAATCTACAACAAAATTACTCCTGTCCGTTATTTTAATTTTTCACAAAAACATAAGGGTAAGAGAGTAATTTTGTTGGAAATATTAACGACGATAGTCTTTTAACATTGATTGGATTGCGAATAATACAGCTTCCAATTGTTCAGGGGTTTCATTGATATATTGAAATGTTAGGAGATGTCCATGTATTTTTACCAAATGTGAGGAGAATTTGTGTATTTTTGCCAAATGTCAAGGGGTGTCATGATTTTAAATTAAAGTGTAAAATAGTCTCTTAATTGGAAAACTTAATAGAGATTTGCAAAATGGGTGCAATTGATACAACTTCCAAATGTCAAGGATCTTTGTGATATATTAGAAATGTTAAAAGGTGTCCGTGTATTTTTATCAAATGTGAAGAAGTCTCTGATTTTTACCCTGTAATTTATTAAAGAAAGGACTGGCAGTGCACAATCCTTATACAAAAGAAGACCTTATTCCACGGCCTCTACAAAATCAAAGGATTGATTCAAAGATGGATTAAACATCTCCGGAACACCAACTATACATATTAGTATTAAAAAAAGGCTCTTAATTTTCAAAAGAGAAAGCGTAAGTGCACAGCACACATTTATCTCAAGAGTTCCATTCTGTGAAAGTCTTCTATGTTCCTAGCATAGCTATTTTCAAAATAGGCAAATCAATGCTTGAGGGACCAAGTGCCAAGCTTTCTGGATTTGTCATGATATGTACTCATCGATACAACAATTTCTGAAAAAATAGTGTATAAAAACATCGAGAATGCAGTTTTATATGTATGTAAAAAGGTATTGTTTCTGCAGTATTAATGACAAGGTGTCATTCTTTATGAATCTATTATTCATTTCTTTCCTATATTGTAGTGGAAGTATTAAAATTTCAAGCAATAAGTTGGACGCATATCTGTACTGAGTATTTGGAAAGTATCAGATAAATTGTTCAAAGTTTGCACCCAAAAAAAAAGAAAAATTATTTAAAAGTTAAAAGTCATTTCTTTCATCAAATACTCATTAGTGCGTGCTGGATTCTTCCAAAATGTATCCATAATACGCACTAATGAGTATTTGATGAACAACAATTCGACACCCTTGTAGAGGTACCCATGCTATGATGCTACATACCGTCACTTGAAACCTTCATGGGGCCCAAGTCCATTCCCTTTTTTCTGCTTTGACAATGCTGATTCTCTCTGTAGTCTACTCCTATGCAGTTGATAAATTTATGGTTTAACTATCAATTTTCAGGGTTTTTTTGGGAATTGCCTTTTTTAGTGACCTTTTGACTTCTTGCGAAAAGACGTGCAAAATTGTAGAGAGAAGAATTGACTTTTTTGTAGTGACTTTTTGACTTTTTGGCTAAAAGTGTGACTACTCAAAATAGGCCTTTCAGTTTCCTACTGTTAATTATGTTGTCATGAGTTGTGTACTTCGGAAATCTGCAATGAAAATGGAGCTGTCTTGAGTTGATGAGTTGATTTTGCTTGTTTAGCTTGATAGTTTGAAAATCCAGACCATGGTAAGCTGATTATTGAAGGTTTATTGTCTAGTTGGCAATTTTTGTTTGAAGTATACTTGCTTTGGTTTTTCAAATACCAATGACACAAGCATTCCTTTTGAAGTACTAGTTTGAAATAGAAAATGCAGTCATTTTGTGTGACGATTCTCTTTAGGTTTACAACATATTTGAAGACCCTTGCGATATATTGTAGTGAACTTCTTGTGATTCATGAAAATTTTGTTACAGTTAACCGATAGGGTATCTGACTCAACTTCTCAAACATCTGAAAGCGAAATTCAAGATAGTATGTGGTCTATGGATCGTTGCAGGTAACTTATTCAAATTGTTGATGTAACCTATTTTTCTTCAGGATGATTCTTATCTGTTTCTCTACATTCATATTTGTAATGGTATGCCAATTGTCTTGCATGGGGATGGCACTGAAAGTGATTTTGATAGAAAGTTGGGTTTTAGGCATCTATGAATAGGCTCGATAGGTTTCTACCAAAATCTCTGATAGGGATTTCACGACAGAATTTAAAAAAAATTATTTTGATTCCCAATATCCTTGGTCATGTTTGTAATGTATACAAAACTTTAATCAACCATCCATAGAGATAGGATAAATGCTTGAAACGCAAAACCCAATTCGGCATTCTTCGTTTGAGTTTACTTGAGTCTAAAACTGTTCAATTGCTTGGTCTCCAAAAGTAGCCATATGAAACAAATCTCAAACACGAAGGTATCTTCGTCCTTCATAAGTTTTTCAGAGAGAGAGAGAGAAATATGCCAGTTAAAAAGCCTTAAGATTATGCTTTATAATTAATTGTCAACTTTATAAGTGAATTATTTTGTGTTATCCATTGTATGCAACTACAGTATTTCTTTATCTATTTTGAACACTTAAATTGACATAAATGTATTTGCTTCTGTGCCTTATGGCATTATAGTTAAATGTTATATGGTCGAAGATTAATTTTGTTCTTGTACTTTAATATTGTTTGGAACTGGATCCTGAAAGCGTAGTTGTGTTCTTCTTTTTTTTTCCCATTGTATTTTCTCAGGAATTATTCAGAGGTTCTCACTGGTTCTAAAGTTCATTCTCCAACTGACCCTAGGAGTTCTGAGTTAGAACTCCCTCAGCAGGTGTTGGAATCTTTGTTTAACATGTCCAAGAGTTCTAAACATGAGCCAAACACTATGAACTGGAGGGATGTAGTGAAAAAGATGGAGTCTGTGGGACAAAGATTTGATTATGACCCTGCTGATGCTACAGAACCAGAGCACATTCATGGTATGAAAAAATTTGTCGTATGACATTTTGTTTGCATCACCTAAGAAATTGTGGAAGAGTGATTGAGCATCGTCTAAGAGTTACGACAACGGTGTCAGCGAATCAGTTTGAATTTATATGTGGTAGATTAATTATAAAAACGATCTACTTGCTAAGAAGATTAATAGAGAAGTACAAAGAGAAGCAAAGGGATCTTCATATGGTTTTTATAGATATAAAAAAAGTTTATGGTAGGGTCCCTAGAGATGTAATATGGTGGGTTTTAGAGGAAAAATGTGTGATTGAAAGGTATATTGATGCGATAAAAGATATATTTTGAACATGTGACTACAATCAGATCATCTACCAGAGAAATTAGTCAATTTTGAATCATTGTAATATTGCTTCAAGGTTCAGCTTGGTGTCATTATCTATATGTCTTAGTCAGTTGAATTAACTAAAAACATTTAGGATGATGTTCCATGGTGTATATTGTTCTAGTAGATGAAATTTAGGGAGGAATTAACACTAAAATTGAAATCTAGAGAGAACGATTATAGTCAATGTTTTAAAATTAGTTAAGTTAAATTTGAATATAGTAAATGTAACTTTGTAACAATAATAGTATAAATAATGGAGATGTGAAGATTGAAAACAAAGAGTGAAAATTTTATAGGATAGAAAATTAGGCAACTAAGAAACAACACTTTCATAAAATGAGTGTAGCTTAGATGAGGATGCATAGGAAACACAAATACTTCAAGATGGGTGCCATGTTCATGTTCGACATAGCGCATACATGCGTGTTCATGTGTTTGACACGCTCTGTGGCAAGTCAATTTTTTTGGCAGGACACATTGGAGACACTAAGGACAAACGTGTTCAATGCGTAGACCAAGATTGTTAAAATCGGGATCCTAAGTAGGATCGGTGAGAGGGTCTAGTGGATCGGATCGTAGGATCGGATCGAGGATCGTAAGATCCTACTTTCTATTAAAAAAAAGATAAAAATTAAAATTAAATGATACATATTAAAAATAAGGTGAAAAATCATAAAATCTATGATCCTACTTGCGATCCTACCTACGATCCTATACGATCCTACACGATCCCATGCGATCCTACTTGTGATCCTGTTATAACATCGATCCTACAACTATCTGGATCGTTTTGGCAAAGTAGGATTGTAGGATCGTACGATCCTACGATCCGGATCGCGATTTTAACAACCATGGTGTAGACAGGCTTTTGGACACCTATGTGGCGTTTTTTTAATAATAATTTTAGAAAAGCTGATTTAGGGTGAAAGTAAAATATATATATGAAAAAAAAGGGAACCTCTTTTTCTAGTGTACATCTTTTAAAGTTTCATGATGTCACCATGACTACTGCGGTGCTCCCATGTTTGTAACTCTCTCTCTCTCTCTCTCTATATATATATATTTATATATGGATGGCGCTAATGCCACACTTTTCATTTGAAATGGTTATACCCTTTTACATATAAGATTGATGGTTCTATCTTAGCTCTACTTTGTATCTCTCTCTTGCACACTTTTCTCTATTGTTCATTCATCTTTCTTTTTTAGTCCCTCTGTGCACTGTATCTCTCCACTTATCTTCTCTCTCTGCTATCTCCCTCACAAATCGCAGAGCTTCTACCTTCATCAAATACAAGTCAATACGCCATTGAGTCGACGATCCATCATGCATTCACGAACTACTCTAGGATAAGACTTCTCGTAGCTCAAATTTTGTGGCTCAAAAGTGGCTCAAATGTCCAAAACGACGTCGTTTTGGCCATTTTAATGTTGTTCTGTACTCAAAACGACGTCGTTTTAGCCATTTGAGCCACTTTTGAGCCACAAAATTTGAGCTACGTAGCATTGTTCAATATGAAAATGGAGAGGGAGAGGGAGGGAGGGAGGGAGGGAGAGAGAGAGAGAGAACAGAATAGATCGAGAGAGAGAGAAGCAAACAGAGACGAAGAAAGAGAGAAGCAAATAGAGACGAAAAGGAGATCGAGGGTGAGAGAAGAGAGAGAGACGAAGACCTCGGGCTTCGAAGAGAGGGACGAAGACTAGGGCTTCGAAGGGGAAGTCAAAGGGCGAGATCGAAGTCGTCGAACATAGGATTGAAACCAGTGACCAAGTTCTCTCCTTGCCCTCTCAAGAGTGCTTCCTTCTCGCATCAGATTCGCATTTCCCTCTCCTTAGATTCGCGATTTTGCTGCGATTCTTCCTTAAAAGCGCAGAATCGCGCTTCTTCCTCAAAGTCGTCACCATCTGAGACGATTTCTACTACTAAGGCATGAACAGAGAAGTAGACTTAATGGCGACAGTGTGTATCAATCTTTTGTCGTAATTTGGTGGTATGTGGGTGAGAGAGATGTTGGTTTCATCCATGGGGTGATTAGGGTCTTGAAGAGTGAAAAGAAGGAAGACAGAGAAACATTGTTCAGTTGCTAGAGAGAGAGAGAGAGAGAGATGTTGGTTTCATCCATGGGGTGATTAGGGTCTTGAAGAGTGAAAAAAAGGAAAACAGAGAAGCATTGTTCAGTTGCTGTAGAGAGAGAGAGAGAGAGAGAGAGAGAGAGGTGATTAGGGTCTTGAAGAGTAAAAAAAAAGGAAACATTGTTCAGTTGCTGTAGAGAGAGAGGTGATTAGGTTCTTGAAGAGTAAAAAAAAGAAGACAGAAACAGTGTTCAGTTGCTGTAAGAGAGTTTCTGATGGTGATTGTACTGTAACGATCATCTTGAGGTTGGAGGCTGTTGCTTTGAGAGAGAAATAAAGAAGAAAAAGGGAGGAAGAAGAGAGAGGGAGAGACCCATGGACAGTTATTGAGTGTTTGTTGGCAGAAGAGAGAGACCCACTTTCTGTGCCTATCCAAGCCTAATCGAAGAGCTATGAGTATGACTCTTTGAGCTGAATCAAATTTTGATTTTGTGGTGGGTGAATTCGTTGAGAGATTATTAGTGAAGATGGCAGATGTGTTATTTCATAGAAAAAAATGTGTGGAATTAAATAATAATTTTAACAAAAATATTGGGCCAACACAGCCGAGCAATGCTAGGTATCATGAAAAATATTTCATGAAAATAATCATGAAAGATTTTTGACCCTTAGATTAGATATACAATAAGTTATAAAGTGTAATACAAGGATTGAAATTCATTCATGATCATTTTCATGAAGCATTTTTCATGATGCCCAGTATTTCCCAACACAGCCTTATTTATATATGCATCATAATTTTAACAAATATATTGGGCCATGTCCAGCTCTTCACCATACCTTTTAACATTTCTTGTATATTGTAGCTAAAGGAGATGCATATCAGGTGCATAGAAAAGCTGCAACGCAGCACTGGGATTCAATGAAATCCTACTATCAGAAGGTAAAATGAGCCCAGCACTTTTGTCTACTTCTGATGGCATTGTCGTACCACTTCTGTGTTTTTAATTGAGATTACATATTTCCTGTAATCGTCATGGAAATATCATATCTTTTACAGGCTGCAACAGCATTTTCTAATGGGGAACGGGAATATGCAGCTTACCTTTCTGAGCAGGTGGGTGTGTTTGTTTTCAATCGATGTTGCTCAATTTCCCTTGTTGATTACTGATTTATATTGTTGTTCAAGAAAAACACTTGATGGTTGCATAGTTGTTTATTGGAACTATCACCCTATGTTACATGGACTCTTCAAAATAAATCACATACTTGTGTCAGATACCTGACACTTAGACAAGGGTGTGGGATAAAGAAAGTATAGCATAAATAATTGACCCCCATAATTGATGTTATTAGCATTATTTATCTGATTGCTAGATGCTCTTGCTATGTTACTTGTAGTTATGGGGGGCTTAATGCTGAATGATCTTGAGCTGTGCAGTTGTAGATGGTGTAATTTAAGATGAACGGACTTCTTGATAAGTGTTGATCAATCATGGCACAAAGAAAAGTTTAACGTGATTAAATCAGTTGACTTATACTCCGTTTGGCCTGAGCCATAAATTGAATAGATTTTTCTGCCTTGCTTTAGGGAAGGTCATACAACAAAATGGCTCGAGAGGCAGATGAAAAAGCAAGCCAAGAGATATTCAAAGCTAGGTAAGCTGTTGCACAATGAAGCAGGAAGAAAAAAAAATTCTTTTACTTTTTTCACCTCTACTTTTAAGTATTTCTTAGATGAAGCTTTTATTTTGCTGGGATTGTGCAGAAACAAGAATATAGAAAATGTGATAACAATTGATCTGCATGGCCAACATGTCAAACAAGCTATAAAGTTTTTAAAAGTTCACCTACTCTTTGGAGCATATGTACGCTGTAAGAATTTGCCTAATGGATTATGTATCTGAGTGTTCTCATTTTGTTTTTGTGCGAAATAAATTTAATTATTCTGGGTTGTAATTTTGTAGCATACCCTCACCACTCTTTCTTTTCCCTCTCTCTGCTGTAGCTGTCCAGATTTTCAGGGTTATCACAGGATGTGGGAGCCATGGTGTGGGGAAGTCAAAGCTGAAGCAGTCGGTATGGGTTCTAGTCATCCTGGTTCTTTTTTTTTAAGAAAAGTTTCTTAAGAAAATTTTCTTTCTATTTGTGTTGTATCTTTCTATAGAAGTTATGAGAGTTTTCTTAAATTCTTCCTTCCTTGCCTCCCTGTGAAGTGTGTTGGCTTTAGGCTGTATTTGGATCAAAGATTGTGGGAGGATTTGTTAAGGCAAAGGAACATAGAAGGGAAAAGTGAAAAATAAATAAATAAAGAGCTTGGATTTTATTCATTTTTTCTTGCTTTTTCCTTTTCCTTCACAAATCCTTGATCCAAGCATATCATTAAACTTTTTCATATAGATTACATAGTGATTTGGATCCCTGGTTACTGAACGAACTTCTAATCGAAGAGCTATGAGTATGACTCTTTGAGCTGAATCAAATTTTGATTTTGTGGTACAATAAATGGCAAGGTTTTTAAAATCGGAATCCTACATAAGATCAGTAAGAGGGTCTCCTTGATCTTATCAAGGATCGTAAGATTCTACTTTCTATTAAAAAGAAGGTAAAAATACAAATCAGAATGACTTATATTAAAAATAAGGTGAAAAATCACAAATCCAACAATTCTACTTGCGATCCTACTACAATCCTATACGATCCAACACAATCCCATACAGTCAGTCCTATATGATCCTACTTGCAATCCTTCTATAACACCGATCCTACAACGATTTGGATTGTTTTGACTATTTAGGATTGTATGATTCTACGATTTGGATTGTGATTTTGAGAACCATGATTAATGGTAATTATAGTGATATACTCTCTTTTAAGTTAATGAATTGCAGTAGGTCAGGAAATGTTTGTGAGTACATTGTCATCTTCTGCATGGTGTGTTTTCATAATCTGCACATGGAGTGACAAAAAAACATGCATATTACTGCAGGAAATATAGTGAACTTGTCACTGTTTATATATTTTACATAATTATTCTGATGGGGAACAAAAAGGATTTGGTTGAAGAAATAGGATTTAATAATTATAATTTTGACAATATTTTATATTTTGAGATCTATTTTATTTCAGTATGTAATATGTTTATCCAGTTTTGGAATATTGTTGAATGTTTAAGGTTATGGCTGTTTGTGTTACGGTTGTGACCCTTCTTTTATCTCTTCTTTCTCCCTCTTTTGGTGCTACACCATTTTGCTATTAGGGCAAACTTTGATCCATTTGTCTCTATTTATTCGATGTGTCTTCTTGATACGGCCTTGTCCTTTGAATCAAAAGAAAAATAAATCTCAAAATATAAAATATTGTCAAAATTAATTATTGCATCCTGTTTCTTGAACCAATTCCTTTGTGTTCCCCGTCATCTCTTCTTCTCTCTTTCTCCTTCTCTTGGTGCCACGGCATAATCATTAGGTCTGATTAAGAAGTATTGTTGTAACAGTACTTGGGGGAGATCCATTTTAAAAGAATGAAATGGGTTGTGAGTGTTCTGTGTGTGTATGAGCGCATATATGAGTTTACCATAACTTGCCATTTAATGCATGCAGGTGATTAATCTTGTTGAAAGGGAAGGTATTGAATGGAGTGAAGAGAACCGTGGATCGGTCCTAATAAGGCTTGATGGGCAGAGAGAGTTCGCCTTTCTAGAGTCAGAAAACGATAGTGACTAGTCCTTAAGTTCTGGTGTAAAATCACACCTGGGACTTTCTTGTCACTGGTGTTTGTATACCAAGAAATAAATTTTAGAGAATTAACTATTTATCTAGTGTTGGGAGGACCAGGTATTTGTGTAGATGTTTTACTTGTGTACAATATCTTCTCTTTAGGTAGACTGAAGTGTGGGCCGGACACAATGCCATGCTCAGGCCTCATTTGTACAATATTTTTAACATGTATTTGATTTCTATGAAATTATGCAACTTAAATTAGTTAATTATAATGTGATTATGCATCATCATGATACAAAATTTATTGGTTGTAATTTGTCAGTTGGGTTATGATTTGCTAGTTACTTTTGGGTTGAAGATTGTTGGTTCGGTTAGGGATTCTCTGCCCCGAAAACCCGGCCAATGCACACTGATGGGAATCTGGAAACATGAAAATTTGATGTTCGATTCTGCGGTGTGAGTGTATTTGAAGATAGTGAAGGAGATTTTGAGGGCAGAGAATTACTTGCCCCTTGGTTGTGTTATGTTTTCTCATTCAATAATGATTTTGCTATCTTATATGTTTACACCGCATTGGTATCAATTATGAATCGAGACCACTTAATGACACTTGAGATAAAACACAGAATATGATTGGAAAAAAATTGCAATTCTCGCATTATTGTTGAGAAAAATCTAGGTACACAAAATATTTCAAACCCAGAATGTATAGAAGTGACTCAATGCTCACAACTAACTCATTTGTTCTACATATGGAAATATTGTTTACTGTTTTATACTTTGGTAGTCCAGATCCAGAAAGTAATACTTTAGGCCATTCTTATTATGATCTTGTTTGGTAGGGTTTATTTTTAGCTTATTTTAGCTTTTAGCTTAATTTAAGTTATTTTGATGTGTTTGGTTCAACTTAATAATATAGTTTATAATTTTTTGTAAGTTAAAAATTAATTTATTCTTTGAGTGGGGTAGGAGAAATTTAATTTTTAAGTAAAAAATTAGCTTATGTTCATAGTTATAAGTTGTTAGGTTATAGTTATAATCACTTTTCCATACATGTTTAAGGATTTAAGGATAACAAAAATTATTTTGGTAGCTAAGATCTTTAAGATTTAAAATTTTAGAAGAATAAGGACAAATTTTGACATGTACGCACCAAAATGTCCTAACTTTTTTGTTTAATTTTTTATTGGTTGTCTCTCTCTCTCTCGTCGCGTCACGATCTATCTCTGGTATCACTTCTATTAGGGGTGAGCAGCGGATATACCGATCCGCCAAAACCGACCGAACCGAACCGATCCGCCGCATTTTTAAAAAATTTCTTGAATATAAAAAAATATGAAAATCTATTGAATTTTTATAATATATATATATATATATTGTATTTTTTGTATTCAATGAGTTTTTAAAGATTTTTTTCAAAATTTTTAGGGGAAATTAGGGAGAGATCCTCCATACATGTTTAAGAATTAAAGGATAACAAAAATTATTTTGGTAGCTAAGATCTTTAAGATTTAAAATTTTAGAAGAATAAGGACAAATTTTGACATGTAGGCACCAAAATGTCCTAACTTTTTTCTTTAATTTTTTATTGGTTGTCTCTCTCTCTCTCGTCGCGTCACGATCTATCTCCGGTATCACTTCTATTGTTTCTCCAACATCATTACCAAATCCTCCAACATTTATCTACCGGTGTCCGTTTTTTTTTTAAAATTATATATATCGCAATCACGTCTACCAACACTCTATCATATACCGCCGTTGTCTAACCACTACCATTGTGTATAGATTTAACATGTTTTACTTTATTTCTGATTTATTTAATTCATTATTGCTGATTTGTTCACAAATTTAATATATGAGTTTTAAATCTCTTTTTTTTCATTTCTTTTCCCCGTCTCTTTATTTTCTTTGCATCTATATTTTTCTTTGTGTTGAAACACAAAATTTCTATGTTTTTGTTTTGCTTTGCGTTGAAATATACTTTTCTCTGTATTGAAAAACAAAATTTTCTGTGTTGTTTCTTTATCTCTAAGTAAAAATTTTCTTTGTATGAAGTAAGAGAAATTTTCTTGTAACATAAAAAAAAACACAACAAAATTTCATGAATTTTTTTCGTTCATATTACTCATAGATCTCGTTTCAAAGATCTTATCAATAGGATTTTAAAAATATAGATTTTACAAAAAAAAAAAAAAATGTAAATCAAAAGTTATTAAATTTAAAGTTTTGAAATGAGATTAAAAATGTAAAAGGTAACTACTTAGAAAAATGCTTCATTCACACAATTTCTTCACTACAAACCTTCCTGAATGGTTCGCAGGTTTTGAGAGAAGAGATGTGTGGGTAGAAGGTTTTGAAAGAAGAGAGGAGTATAAGAGCGTGTATTATTAATTTGTCTTTTTCTTATCACATTTTTCAAGAGGGGTTTGTGGAGATGAAATTGTGTGGATGCTAAACTTATTATAGGGAATTATTTTTGTTCAAAATGGTTAAACATGTTATTGGATGACCTGAACACTAGAAAATTTGTTTTTCCTTATTTTTTTAGAGAAATATTAGTAGGGATCTCAAAAAACATTTACGTTTTAAATGTATTTAAAATGTTAAAAAAATTAATTACAAAATTAAAAATATACACTAAAATTTCAAACTAAAATTTTTCGATTGAGAAGAGGGAGTCAACAACACGGTGTTCCGGAATACTTGGGTCCACTACATCCCACTCGCCTCAACTACCGTAGGGTATACGTACACGGAGATATTTTAGTTTCACAATATTTTATTTGATAAATTATAATTATATTAGATTTCTTTTATATTTTAATTTATGTGACACTTGGTTCATTTGTAATGAGAAATTTGCTGGTCATATTGGTCCCTTTTTAATGAGAAATTTGTTTAGTCATATAAATAAAAAAATAATATTATCATTTTTTTTTACATTACAATATAGATTTACTTTGTGTATTTTTGTGTTTTCATGCTATATATATTAGTTTTGGTTTTTTTAATTTTACTAAAGTGATGTAAGTGTAATTATGTTAAAATTGTGAAACTTACCAGAGGTTGTTTAGGAATGGCTTTTTTGGCTATAATAAGTTTAAATGGTCTATAAGATAAAATGTTACATCGAAATCATAATTTTACTCTTTTTTTTTCTTTTTTTTCTTTTTTTTTTTATAATTTTTTGGTTACAGGAAAATCCTCCCTACACTCTCGCAGGTCCAAGGCAGCGCCCTTTGCAGAGATCACCAGGGTATCCTGTTAGCCGTTCCGAGTGAGGAGAGTATAACCTGAGAACTTGCCCTGACTTCCCAAAACAAGTTCCGCTTAAGTCAGGACTCGCATAGCGGGAGAGTATTGAACCCACACCAAGTGCTGATTAGACAACTTGAGATCCAATCTCCTAACTAACTGTGCTTCGCCCAGAAGATTAAACTAAAATAATTAAAAAGCTAACTGAAAATGGTCAACTTCTCAAACGACGCTATATATTGATGTCAATGTAATTTACCATGTTTTATTTGAGGAGAATAATGTCTATGGACAAAAGAAAAACAACGATGTTGAGGATCCGTTGTTTGAATGTGCTTGGGATCAAGATAGCTAAGGCCGAATTTGGTAATATTTGTAGCCTCAATGCTTCACCCAGACCAGATTCCAGGTCTCGTCTTGCTCTTGCGGCTTTGATGTCCTTTCTTTGTTTTCAAATCTTATGACAAATTAGACATAAAATTTGATTATTACTAAAATTGGGCAACACTCCGCTGACCTTTCTTATTATGAAATCTACAAATACCATTTTTATTTAGTATTTTGTGAAAAATAAAAATAAAATAACATTTGTATTTTTACAAGTCAGAACAAATGTTTTTAGGTAGGTGTCGGAATAAAATTTTAATATGTATTATTTTGACACTAAAAAAATATTACTTTAACATATTATTTTGACACTAATCAGAGATTTCTTATTTTTTTAATTTTTTAAATGAGCAATTATCTTTTTTTCCTGTGTTTTGCAGTGCTTTCTATGACAACATGTTAAGCTCAAGATTATTTATTCCACTGATTTAATTTTAATTATTAGATTATGTTTTAAAATTCACATATTTCAAAATTCTTATAAAGTGCTCGTTTGACATATCACATTTGGGCCAAAATAAGCACAAAAAAAAAAAAAAAAAACTAAAAAGTCAATAAGATAAAATATCACATCTAAACTATATTATTTTATTTTTTCTCTTAAAAAAATCAAAAAATTTATTCCAAACGAGAATTTTTAACCCCAAACTAAAATAGTCAAAAAATTAGAAAGCTAAAAAATTAACTCACATTCCAAAGAAATTCAAAATTCAATGACTAAAATTACATAACTAGAAGGATAGAAAAATTCAGAGATGAATTTTGACGACCCGTCTTTCATGGGGTTAACGGGGGCCAAATACACTATAATCCGTAGACTCAAGTCCAGCCTAATTCAAATTATTTTGGGAATGGTTTATAAGTTTTTTTTTTTTTTTTTTTAAAAGATGTGTAAAAAAATAGAAAAGTAATATGATCTAAATAAGTTATTAAGTCAACAAGTTAACTTTTTTAGATGTTGGCAAAAAAGACCTTAAGGCAAGTTAATAGGTTATTTTAGGCCTCGTTTAGGAACATGTTTTTTTAGTAATTTTAGACTTTTTTGCTAAAATATGATGTAAAGAAATTAATATATTTGGAATAGTTTTTTGATTTTTTACAAAAAGATGTGTAAAAAATAGAGAGAAAATAGAATTTTTAACTTTTTAGCATAAGTTGTTGGCTTTTTAATTTTTTTTAATGAATTTTTGACTTTTAAACTAAAAAGTAATGTTGCAAAACAAGACCTAATTAAAAAAAAAAATTAAAAATCACTACCTGAAAGTTAACTTTTCTTCTTTTTTTTACTTATTTTTTTTTATAAAAAATAAATAAATTAACTAAAGTAACTTAGTTCTCAGAAAAACCCTCAATCTCACTCGATTTGAGCCAACCCACATGGGATATAGGTTTGGGTGGGCAAAAGTCCACCAAGCATGAATCTACCAAAAAAAAAAAAAAAAAAAAGTCCACCAAGCCCAATAGACTTTCAGGTCCAATGATAACCCTTATCCCTAAAATATTTATAAAAAAAAAAATAGGAGATAATTTATTCAAGAGTGATTTGAGAAGTTGATTAAAAATTATTTTTTTTTTTAATCTTTTTATGTGTAAAAAATATGAGAGGTGATATGATCCAAAATGAGTTAAAAATTAAAAGTTAACTTTTAGCTAACTTTCCAAATTATCCCTAAATTGAAGCTTTTTTTGGATACATGTTAATAAATTAGTTAAAAAGTTAATAGAAAAAAATAATCAATTCTCTTATTTTTTTTACACATTTTTAATTTGACTAACTAAATGACTGTTGATAGAGTCGAATAGATAAGAATGATTTATATAACCGACCCCATTTAATGAGACTTGAGAATTGGTTTGATTTAGTTTAATTTTATAAAAAAATAAAATAAAAATATTATTAAAAAAAAAGGTCAATTCCCACAAGTCTATTTTAAGCCACTTTTGGAAGAAAAAAAAAAATCAATTTATTGGCTTATTAACTTATTTATGACTTATTTGTTAATTATACATTTTAATTAAAAAATTATTATAAGTTGTTATATCACTCTCTCTATTTTTTTGCATATAAATTAAAAAATTATTAAAATAATATGTTTTCAAAAGAGATTTTAGATCATATCATCCATTTATTTTTTTTATATATATATTTTTTTAAAAAAACAATAAAACAAAAAAAATTGACTTCTCAAAATGTGTCAAGATCCTCTCCTTGCGCTCCCTCCTTGCACTCCCTCCTTACAGGGCCTTCGGGCCCACTTTTAAGCCCAATTTTGATAATACGAATCGTTATATTTTAAGATTTATTCAGTATATCATACCTGTAAAAAATCAAGTTGATCGGATTTCAAAAAGCACGTGTTCAGAAAAATCGAACTAAAAACTATTTTTTTAAAGAATTTAATAAACAGTTTTCCGAACACATACTTTCTGATATTCGATCAACTTGATTTTTTACGAGTATGATATACTGAATAAATCTTAAAATATTAACGGTTCAGATTATCAAAATTGAGCCCGAAGGGCCTACAAAAAAAAATGCAAGAGGGAGTACAAGGAGAGAATCCCAATTCTCTCAAAATAGGCAATAGAAACTTATTTTGAAGGTAATTTTGCAATCGAAAAATGCTTTGGAGCACTAATTAGTGCTCCCACTAATTAGGTGGCAGTGGGTCCCGCCATTAATGATGTGATGTTTTGATCTTGGAGTTGTGTTTTTTTTTGTTTTTTTTTTTTTTTTTTTTTTTTTTACTTTTTTAATACATTAGTGCTATTAGTGGTGATGTTTTTAGTGGGATGAATTGTTGTTTTGCAATCCTAGTAGTAGACAACAGGAAGCAATCATCCAATGGCAGAGTTGTAACAGATCTGGTAAGATCTCATCAATGAAAAGCTAATTCAAAAAATTAAATAATAGAAATAAAACAAATCAAGAGAGCCCGTGACTCCTCCCAATCACAGACCCGGTCATTCATCCGCCACGACGACTTCCTTTCTACAATCCTAAGACTATGATTGGGCTGTCACCTCCCATCACTCACAGCTGGCCATCTCATCTATAAACTGAAAATAAAATAAATAAATAAATAACAAAAAAAAAATGCCATTTGTACGAGTCGGTTACTCTGTTCCCAGATGACCGCCCTCATTTCTGCACAATCTCTAGAGAGAGTGAGAGAGAGAAGCTGATCTATGTATGACAACGATTGAGTCATCGTCCGCGGTGGAATCGAGCATGGAGGACACTTCGCAAACCCTAACAAACCCTCAATTTTCGAACAACACTAACAGGAACGGCCACGGCCGCCGAATCGGAGGCGGAGGAGATGACGACGTCGTCGGCGGGGATGATGAAGAATTCAGAGGCGAAGAGTGTGATAACGAGGCTTGGGACAGACTGAGCAGGAGCTTTCGGCAAGTCCAGTCGGTGTTGGATCGGAACCGAGCTTTGATTCAACAGGTTAACGAGAATCACCAGTCGAAGATGCCTGACAATCTCGTCAAGAACGTTGCCCTAATTCGAGAGATCAACGGTAATATATCCAAAGTCATGTCTCTCTACTCCGATCTCTCCGTTGATTTCTCCAACATCGTTCAGCAGCGACGCGCGATCAACAATGACGACCACGTGGAGAAGAGTGCAGGCTCTTGAACTCATCATCATCATCACCGATCAATTGATTTCAGTAATTTTCAATCACCTTTGCTCTGTTTTACACTTCTGTTCTGTGTATGTAGGTTAAGGCTGGTCTGTGTTTGGATTTGTCTTTGGTTAGTCTGTTCTATTTGGAATATGGCATGTGTTTGGTTGAATTCGGGTTTTTGTGCATGGATTATTGGCTTTTTAAAGTTATAGTTGGGTCGATGGCGGTGGCATTGATAAATCTGTTGCTTATTTGGTGCTGTTGTTATGTTTTTGTGTTGTAAGGACAATGACTGCGGGACTGCCTATTATAGCTTGCTGCCCGCAGACGTAATGAGGTATTTATGTTCTGTTTGGTTGTCTCATATAGACTTCACTTTATTTTCTTAGTTTTTATAATTGCTAATTACTTATGAGTATCCATTGAAGAAGTTAGGTTTCGTAGTTTCCAATTAGTCTCAACAAATTAGGGTAGCATTGACATGGAATCAAAGGGGAGATGCTACAATGTGCACCCAAAAAAAAAGGTGCATATGGTATGCCTTTCATAACTTTTTTACCAAATTTCATAATTTAAAAACAAAATGTCATAAGTTTTTTATTACGAAAGTAATAACTTTTTTTCATTATAAAATGTCATAACAAAAATCATAAAAGTGTCATAGCAAAACTAAACAGTGTCATGACAAAAATCACAAAGGATCATAACATTATCATCTCTAACTCTTTGGGTGCACACCATAAATTCATTATTCATAATTTTATCACAAAATGTCATAACATACATCACAAATAATCATAACTTCCATCATAAAAAATCATAACTTTCTTACAACGTGCATCTTTTTAAAGGGTGCACGTAGATTTCTTCCCCTAAATCAAAGAGTTGAGAAAACCTTTAACTTTCTCATCCCATGACCTTAATTACTGGGGTAGGTGTTAAGAAATGACTCACGTATTGCATAATGATCGATCCCACACAATCCTACTTGTGATCATGCTATAACTTTGATTCTACAACGATTTGGATTGTTTTGGCAATTTAGGATCATAGCATCGATCCTACGATTAGGATTGCGATTTTGATAACCATGATTCTAATAAGTATGCAAATTGGAAGAAAATAATTTGAGTTATTCATGAAATTCAAGAATAATGATGCATTTTTAGAAATAAAATAAAATAAAATAAAAAATTCTAGGTTCCATTTTTCCAGAATTACATTGATTTCTTTTTTGCTCCTGCATTTCGTTAACTTGTAATTAGGTCTTTTGTGTTATTTGGAGTACAAATGCTTTTTTTGGGACACAAATGCATCGAATTATTTGATTCTAACTGGATTTCATTGATATGCCCATCATGGAGCTATGACTTGATCTTTTCTATTGTATCCACATTTAGCACGGTTCTTCGTGCAGACAGAGCTGGTGGCGTTGTTCACTAGTTATAACTTATCAAAATAAAGAATATGGGTAGTTAATTCTTTTCACATCTTTGGTTTTTCACTCATTACCTGGTGGTCCTCTGCCTCAGACTTTCCTTGGCATTTTTGTTGTCGGAGCAAGTGTTTGTTAGTCTTGTACAGTAGTGTCAAGTGTTGCATTTTCAGTGATTCATGTATTAGATCAAGGCTGATTTCATCATACGAGGCTCTTTTTGGCTATTTGTTTTCTTGTAACTTAACACATTCTTGATTGAACAGTTTTCAAGGCTATTCCATTTATCTTCAAAATAACACCATCCATTCCAGTTTCAGCCAAATGTTACCTGATGAGAAGCTTTCAGCTACATGAGCAATTTCCCACACTTCCTTCCTTGGTTCAAGGGAAATGGGCGTAGTAGTGTATTGTAAGGTCTACGTTTTCATGGGAATGCTTACATCTTTACTTTGTGAAAGTACGGCTCTTGTATATGATAAGTGCACATTCAAGGGCTTCTTGTTGCGGTGCTGCTACAAGACTGCAGTGGCATAATTTGAAATACTGTAGATAAGCTGGCCCAATGCCCATATACCTAAGAAGAGGAGAAAGATACATAAATTTTCAAATGAAGATTAAGCATAATAAGATGATTTCATCAATTCTACTGTTTATGGAATGGAATGGAATAACCAAACACTAGGCTATGCTTTAGCCTTTGGCCTTGTCCACTCTGTCTAAGAATTACTTATTATCACTTTGGACTCCTAGCAGTTGAAATTTGAACGAGCACAGGGGTTAGGTTAAGAATTTGGAGTAATTTGTCACATTATTTGGTATAAATATATATTATGATATTTTTGAGATTTTCGTCGGTGTGCATCCCTTCTTATTTTTTTGTTATGAGTAAGAGGGACTAAGTTTTTTTTGGCAGCTAAAGGGTATAGGTCGTTGTCTTTCATGTGTAAGTTGTTTAATATGGTGAGAAGCATGTATCACTGAAGTTAAATTCCTGATTCATTCTTTCAAGAGACGGTAACTTTCTATGATGAGTTTTTTTTTTTTTTTTAAATATTTATTATTTATTTATTATCAGAGTTTCTATGATGAGGTTGGGAAGAAAAACTTGCATTAAGAGAGGGATGGTTTAGATGGAGCATGATCATTCTTTCTCTAAAACTTCAACAAAAACGGTTGCTTTTGGTGGAAAACTGAAAAGGTGAGCAAAGGATGCACAAATGGTTTTAGCTGAACAATGAGGTAGCGCCAATGTTACTATATTGATTAGGGGGGAGCATGGTTCAGATTGGTTCGGTTTAGGAAAAAATCAAGACCAATCCACTACCTTTGGTTCTATCAAATCTAAAACCAAACCAATCTATGAAAATCTTGGAACCAATCTGAACCGAGCCACTAAACCACGGTTTGGTTTGGAATTGCGGATTTTAAAAATATTATCATTATTCATAATATGATCACAAAATATTATTCATAACCTAAGAATTGTTTACGTGATTGCTTAAAACTAGTTATATCACTAGACAAAAATATATCTATAATAGTAGAGAGTTATAATATATATATATATATATTTGATACTAATAAAATATTTTAGTATTTACTTTCAGTAACAAATTATATATAATCTAAACGGTCTGGTTCGGTTCCAATTAGATTCGTAGCTATAAAACCACAGATCGAATCGTGAAGTACGGTTTGCCTATTTAAAAAACCAAAACCAAAACCAAACCGTGCATTGAGAAAACCAAACCAAACAATGTGATTTGGTTTGGATTGGATCGATTTACGATTTTTTCGGTTTTTATGCTCAGCCCTAATATTGATGCAACATAGTTGATGTTGGGACCCAAGAGAATATGATATATTGATTGCTAGCCTTATGTAATTTTATCATTTTATTATGACTTTTAGAGAGTTTTAGCAACATTTCTAGGAAGCTGTGTGTTAGTGTTGTGTGTTTGTGTCATAGACTCTTGTCGGACACTTTCGAACATGTGTCAGACACACTTTCCAACATGTGTCAGACACACTTCCAAATGTGTCATATTATTTTGTGAGAGTCATGCTACATCGTATGTGTAGACCTTTTTCTTGTCAAGGTTGATTTTTGAATAGGTCTAGAGAGCATGTGTATATATATTGTTGGCTCTAGTGTGGAATTGGATCTGAACCAAATTAGTGGACAAACTGTTCTTGGGTGTGCCCTCAGAATTCAGATCTAGGTTCTGTCCTGACCATTCAGGTTGAGAATATGAAGTATCTACAGATGGATTGACGAATTCGCGTATTGATATATATACAAGTCAATATGATGTCCATAGCCCCTAATAGGTTCTACATTTGATTATATTTGAGCTCTATTCGTCTTTCGGATTTCCTTTGCTTTTATTTTAGTTCTTTTCCTTTTTTATTTTTTATGGTGATGTGTTCGTCTGAATTGACATGTCTAGTCACCCATTATGGTCTCTTCCCTTTTTTTCTTTTGATACATTGGAGGGAAAGGGGGGTGTCGATTTCATAGCCTCCTATTGAGGTACCCAAATTCTGGCCATTGGGCTAACCCCAATAGGTGATTTCTTTCCTTTGTTTCTGAATAAAAATCATGTGTTTTCTTGTTTTTCTCTCTCTTTCTATTAGTACTTTTTTCGCACAATGATGTTAAGCATGGAATTGGCAGCCTCGCTTACCATTGCAACAGCCCACCACTCCTCACCTCTTTCCCAAAAAATAAGACTTGTCTAGACAATCTCTTTTGAGTTTTCATATTATTTGAACTCTTCTATCACATTGTAGCATTGGTTGGTTGTTTGCTATCTTCACAAATCTGACATTGTGTCAAATGTCATTTTCTCATTACAATTGCATAAGTTTGTTTATTTCATTCTTCTTTAGGTGCCATTTGACATACGGTCTGAACTTCCCATCAGCTGACTGCTTATATTGATTACAGTTACAATTTTTCCATATTGCCTTGAATTGGATATGGATTTATGACCTGAAGTCCTTGAGCCGTTCATGACTCAATAATTTATTTCTTGTCATTTATCTTTTGTTTTCCTCTTCACATTATATGAACAGTTTAATGGGTTTTCTAATAGTAGTAAGCCTTCTTTGACCACCACTAAAGTCTGCCTCCACCTCCATTCCCTATACATACTCTCCTGAAACAACAAACATTTAGCTAATTATTACTTTCTGAATGGTATGGATTCTGAGGGCCTAAAATTCAGATCACGTCGTGAGAGGCTGCAAGTTGCTGTTATTCGAGGAGATGCAACTATACCAAGTAGTGATGGAAATTGTGGTGATTATAATTACTGGACCTTGGTTGCAAGATTCGACTCTTTAATTCACAATTGTTTCTTTCTTGTGTTCATTCATTTCATTTGAATGCATGTTTGGTCATTCATTTATAACTCTTTTGAGTATTTGTTGCCTGAGTTGGTGTTAACTGTCAGTTTCTTTGTTCTTTTTGTTTTTCTAAAATATCCTCATGTAATTAATCGTCTGTAACTGGCCCCATACAGGTGTGATTCGATTTTCCCGATGGTGTATCAAAACACATCTTAAAAACCTTGTGTGGCTGAGGGGCAGATCTGAATTATGTCTGGCTGATTGGAAGGGATTGAGATTGACAATACTGTGGGCATCACATGGGCTCTGCATATTTTTGTTTGCCCCTAATACTTCGTTTAATTGGCTAAAATGGGTTGGATTGGTAGTACCTAGTATTGTTAATACCTCAAATTCACTAAAAAGTAAAATACTTGTGAAAAAAATATTTTAAAAAATTAATAAATAC